AACAAACACGCACACGGTGCATATTGTCACGGTCAAAACAGAGCCGGCTGCAAACTTCGACTCAGCCGCAGCCTCAGCCCAGACAGCGGCGAACGCAGACGCGTATCGGCCGCCGCGAGTCATGTCATGCAGGTGGTGAGTCACAAGAAACTTTGCCGGCTGGCTACTTCTCCAGATCTGCAAATGCCGGCCCAGGGTTTTCTCGGTCAAAGTCTGTGAACAAAGGGAACTGCCATGGCATCTTCACAGGGTCCATTTCGGGTATCTGGGCCTGTTTGGGAGGTTGCACATTTGCAATATTGCATTTGCAGTTGTGATGAACAGGACGAGCAAGTGTAATGATGCAGGTGGGCAGGGTGGTCGTCGAAGGAGTTGTTGTGTGTGATATTGCAGCCGCCCCTGCACGCAAAAGGGCACGCAACACCATTTGTTGGGGGTCATTTATGAGGACGCAAATGCCACACATACACACACACACATACGGTCTCACGTTCTCTCTCTCACACAACATGCACACACGAACACATATTTTCTCACCCTCTCTTTCTGTCTCTCTCACCTTTTCTCTCCTTTATCCCCTCTGTTGTGTGCATACACTCGCGCACGCATATGCGCATGCACACACACACACACACACACACACACACATACGCATACACACACACCTTGATTGTGCTGAGGACATCATTGAACAGCTTGTCGTTGCCTCCAGCTGCGGGCAAGATCGGGGGGCAGATGCGTGCCGCAGCAGCAAGTCTCTTTGACAGCTCCAGCCGCTTGTCACGGGCCCCCGCGTCGCCGGCGGCGGCGCAAGCCGCATACTTGCGATCTCCAAGTCGTTTCGGCGCAACGCCCGACTAGCGCCGACCGGACAGGATTTCGCCATTCATGATTTTCCATCGACTCACGCCCAAGGTGCAGCTTGTCTGGGTTGATGAACTTGGTCTGCCAGTCCGGCACGCGCTGCCAGGTCGTGAAGATGTCCAGCACCGTGGCGTTGTGCTTCCTGCCCAGCGCCTGCAGCTGGTCCACATACAGCTGGCTGTTGGCCAGGCTGCGGGCGCCCTGTGGGGTGAAATTTGATGGGGCCAGAAAGTCCAGCAAGGTACTGTACAACGAATTGGCGGGACGCCACATCAGCGCGGTGCGCATGTTGCTGGATGCACGGCGCATTGGAAACAAGGAGCCGGCGAGACCTCAAGGGGAGGCTGCCCGGTGTACGAGCGCAGGACGGCCAAAAGACCCCGCACGCAAGCGGCGTCTGTCTGTCACCGCGCGCCGACCCACCGGCTTGCCGGGCGTCTCCACCACGGGCGGCGGCGTGATGAGCAGCCAGTGCCTGATGCCCTGCTCGTTCCCTTTTGACACAATGGCGTCCACATTCTCAAAGAACTTCTCGGGTGAGATGTACGCCTTGCTGCGAGCACAGAGGGTCCCGGTTCATGGCGCAGCAGGTGAGGAGAGCTTGCGCCGGCCGCGGCATGCTCAACCAGACGCCCACGCCACAAAAGGCAGCAGCTGCTCCACCACCCACGAACAGGCCACGACGACCCGCCCCACGCGCGCCCACAATGCAAGTTGGCAACCCTCAAGACGGCCGCTTCGCCCGCCCAGGGGATCGGGCGGCCGCTGGTAATCTCATGGCGACCCGGCTGGCCCCTCCCGCCGCCCCGCCTGCCCAGGGCGGCCTCACCCGGCGGCTTGCTTGACCTGACTGTCCTTCACCCCCAGGAATGCGATGCCCATTATGGGGTTTGTCACGTCAAACAGCTGGCGCGAAGTTCAGCAGCGCGCGTTTGGCACGCGGATGGAGTCAAACGTGTGTTTGTGTGCGTGTGTGTGTGTGTGTGTGTGTGTGTGTGTGTGTGTGTGTGTGTGTGTTCAAGGGGGGAAAAGCGCACCGCACGACTTGTCTGTGCGTACAAGGGCACCAAGGGGCTGGGGCGGCCTGCATTTGGCCGAAGCACACCTTGTTTCAACTGCTGCCCTCAGTTGCCTGCCAGCCCCCAAGCGAGTGCAACCTCCGTTTCCCCTCCGCCTCGCTCTACCCCGTTCCTTCCCTGGCCCCGCCTCGGGCCCCAGCCGCCAGCCCGCCACCCCTCACCCCTCACCGAGTCCAGCATGTAATCCACAAAATAGTTGGTGAAGTAGCCCCCAAAGCCGCGATTAATGAGGTCGGCCTGCACATTGGCGGCAGGGGGGTGGCCAGGGGTGGGTCCGCGTGCGATGCAGGCTGCACATCCGCTTGGAGTGGCGGAAGCACCCCCGTGCTTGGTGGGACAATGGCAAGCAGCAACACAACTGCCTACCTCCGCGCTGCAGAGGAAACCCTAGCTCCCGACGGTTCCCGACTCGGCGTTCGGGCGCGCACTGGCCGCCTGCTGGGCCCGAAAAGGCGGCGGAGTGCCCGAACAGCCGACCGGCTTCACTTTTGGGCTGTCGTCTCCCCCAACACCCCCCTTCCCAATCGCCACGCGTACCAGTTGGCCCCTAAACCACTTCTGGCATGCTCACCCCTCCACCGCAATGCAAGGGTTCTCCTCCCCTGATTGCTAAATGAGGGGCTGTGCGACAGAAAACTCGGGTCCCTGCCCCACACCCACCTTTCGCGCGTAGGGCCCGACCAGCTTTGACGCCCAGCCGCCGAGGTTGTAGCTGAACCCGCTCTCCGTGAGGCCGTCGCCGACCAGCACTATCGACGGCCGGGACCTGGCCACGCGGGACCGCAGGGAGCGGTGCGGGACGGCCCCGGGCGCGCCGTCGTCGGCTGACAGCATCCGCACCGTCATAACATCTTGATGGGCCACGCTGGCGCGCTGCAAAGTCGAGGGGTCAAGCGCGAATGGAGTTAATGAAGCCGTTGGCGGGGTTGAGACGTGACGAGATAAGTGAGGCGTGTGCTCTGGTACACATGCGGGCCGATTGAACCGCAGAATTCCCTGCTAGCGGCTAGCCCGCATGCAGCAGCAGTGTGATGTGAATGCGCGCGCAAGCCGGCCACGGGTGTGCGCGGCCAGCCAGCGCACCTTTGCCTGCAGCCCCATTCCAACTCCGAGCCCTACTGCTAATCCGGCTATCAGGGCTAGCGCGAACGCCCCTATAAACCATTTCTCGGTGGTCGTTCTAACACCTTTCGGCTCCCCCAGCAAGTCTCCGCTCATTGTTGATGCTGTCATGATGTATGAATACGTCTACCCGCCTCTCACTCAATATGCTGGCCATTGACGGAGCCGTGCTGTGATGCAGCTCGGAAATCGGAACAGCAACAATGACCGTTGTCTGGGGACCATGCTTTCTGTGCTTTGCGGCAGGTCACCCGTGAGAAATGGGTTGTTTGAGTATGTGTCAAGGTTTATCAATGGCAGTGGTTAGTCATGAATTCGTGCCGCTTTGCCGAACTGCCGGGATTGACCGAAGCGGCGGGTATGGCAGCACCAACGGCAAGCCTGCCGCAGCCCCAGCAACGCGGCAAGCTGCCGGTTTTCCTTGTAAGCATGGCTGCTTGTCAAACGGTAGAAGGATGGTGGGTAGGGATTGCAAGCTAACAAGGGGACACAGCAGGCCAGGCAAACGTCGACACTCCCTTAGGCCCCCGAGATGACATGCGTGGTCGGCCGAGAAATCGGCAGAGAGGTGGTCTGCCAAGGACATGGCGATTGCAGCGGGGTACAGCGGCAGCATTCCAATGATGCGTCAACTCTTCTTTGGAGGAGGGCCTCCCCACGACGGAGGACGCAGCCCCTGTCGCTGCTGGCCTGGGAAAAGGCGAGCTTTAAAACCGCGGTTCGCCGCCCGCAAGTCCCCCGCATGCACATGGTCGATCCAGCTGCCGGTTTCCTGGACTTCTTGAGGCTGTCCTGATGCCTGGCCATTTCGCACTTGGGTGCCTACAATCTCTGGTTACAGACTCTGCTTATCAATGCACTCTTGAATTGCTAGTCTCCCAGGGCAGTCATGCACAAAGATTCCCTCCCAAGCAAAAGGTTCTTAGCAAGTCTGTGAAAGCCATGTCGCCCTTGCTGCGCCACCCCTGCAGTTGGAGGCCTTGCAGTGGCTCCACGCCCACGGCTGCCCCTTTGACAGCCAAGTCACCTGTGGGCTGGTCTTGGCGCGCAACTTGGAGGGACTGCTGTAGGCGATAGACGCCGGGGCCCCCCAGCGACTACTTATGCTGCCGCGCCGCTCGCAGTCGACACTGTAACGTTATCCAGGTGGTAAGGGTGCACGGGTGCCTTAAGTATGGTGCCTGCTACCAGGCAGCGCGAGCAGGGCAATGGGGCTTGGTGCGATGTTTGGATGCGGGCGCGGGACCCGCCAGGCCCCTGCGTGGGATGGATGCGGCGAGGATGGAGTGGCTTGCGGTAATTCACGGGCAGTGAGATGTCGCGGACGCAGCACGGACGGAGCTCGAAGCGCGCGCCGCATCTGTTTCGGTGTGATGGGCAACGCTTTGATCCGGCCGGGCTGTTGAGAGATTGCGCAGAAGCAGCAAAGCATGCTTTCGCATGCAGCGCAGGGCGGGGTCTCCCAGGTCGCGCCTGTCTTGATGCTTGCGGTGCTTTTCCTATTTGCTGCCACCGCCAGCCGCCTTGTCTCTGCATGATGCTGTGCCGCAGTGTGAGCTGGCGCTTCATTTTTTTGAGGTCCCCGCAAGCCCGAGCAGGCGCTCTGTCCCCTTGCCCTCATCCTGTGGGTCAGTCATCTTAGACATACTTGCACTTTTCTCTTCTTCAACCGTAAGAAGAGGCGGTGAGCCTTCATACCGCACGCTACCCTGCACGCTACCCTGCACCTTACTTGATGCAAACAGCTACGCCTAAACAACCAAAAGCCATCAACAAACACGCACGTGGTGCATTTCGTCATGGTCACAACAAAACCGGCTGCAAACATTGACTTGGCCGAAGCCTGCGCTCATTCAGCAGCGAATGGGCACGCATATGGGCCGCTGCAGGTCATGTCATGGGTGATGAGTCAGGGTCTTGAACTCTGCCCATTGGCTACTTCTCTAGATCTGCAAATGCCAGCCCAGGATTCTCGTGGTCGATGTCAGTCATCGAAGGGAACTGCCAGGGCATCTTTACTGGGTCCATCTCGGGTATCTGGGCCTGTTTGGGAGGTTGCAATTGTGTGATGTATTTTGCGGTCATGACGGGTAGGACGAGCGAGAGTAGTAATGCAGGTGGGGGCAGGGCAGTTGGCAAAGAGGTTGAGTGTAGTGGTGCATCTGTCCACGCATGCAGTAGGCCATGCGGCGCAAAATTATCAAGGTCCTTGAGGATGCAAGTGCCACACGCACATACCTTCCCATTTGACACACAAACACCACACTCACACGCACAACTCATCTATCCCTCCCTCCCTCCCTCCCTCTCTCTCTCTCTCTCTGTGTTTCTCTCCCCCTCTCCCTCTTACTCCATCTTCCGCTCCCTCTCACTCCATCTTGTGCAAGCATGCACTTTCATACGCAGGCACGTGCACATACACACACACACATGTGCGCGCGCGCACGCGCAAACGTGCGAACAGACACACACACGCCTACCTTGATTGTGTTGAGGACATCATTGAACAGCTTGTCGTTGCCTCCAGCTGGGGTTGAGGTTTGGGGGCGGATGCACTTAGCAGCAGCAAGTCTTTATAGACAGCTCCAGGTCGTCCCGGGACGTCGCGCACCGACGGCGGCGCTAGCCGCACTCTCCTCACCCCAAAGTCATTTCGGCACACCCCGGCCGACGAGCGCACTATCAAAAATGACTACATTTGTGCATGGTCTCCAATCGACTCACGCCCAAGGTGCAGCTTGTCCGCATTGATGAACTTGGTCTGCCAGTCCGGCACGCGCTGCCAGGTCGTGAAGATGTCCAGCACCGTGGCGTTGTGCTTCCTGCCCAGCGCCTGCAGCTGGTCAACGTACAGCTGGCTGTTGGCCAGGCTGCGGGCGCCCTGTGGGGCAAAATATAATTGGCCCAGAAAGGATGGAATAGGTATAATGTATTGGCGGGCAGTCACATCAGCGTGGTGTCAACATTACTGGACACTTGGCGCGTTGCAAGACACGGGCTGCCGCGAGCTTGAGGGCGAGGCTGCGGGACAATGGAGCGCGGGACGGCCAGAGGCACTGGGCGTACATGCCAAGGGCGCCATCTGTCTTGCCGCGTGCCGGCCCCACGGACCCACCGGCTTGCCGGGCGTCTCCACCACGGGCGGCGGCGTGATGAGCAGCCAGTGCCTGATGCCCTGCTCGTTGCCCTTCGACATGATGGCGTCCACGTTCTCAAAGAACTTCTCCGGCGATACGTACGCCTTGCTGCAAAGGGAGGATCCCCATTCACGGCGCAGTAGGTGGGAAGAGTGTGCGCAGGCCAAAAGGAATTCGCGCGGACGTTCACGCCACGGAAAGCAGCACCCGCTCCACCACCCGTCACCAGGCCCCAACGCCCCGCACCCCGCGCTTGCAGGTTGCAGGCCGGCGACGAAGGCGGCCGCAGGTCCGCTTATAGCACCCGTGGCTGACAACTCCGGCCGCCCGGCCTGCCCAGGGCAGCCTCACCCTGCGGCTTGTTTGACCTGGCTGTCCTTCACCCCCAAGAATGCAATGCCCATTATGGGGTTTGTCACATCAAACAGCTGGGGAAGGTTGCGTTTGGTGGAGCGGTTGGGGTCAAGAGTGTGTGTGTGTGGTGTCTGTGTGGTGAAGTGTGCATGTATGTGTGCGGTCGACAGTGGAACAGCACACCGCAAACTTGTGTGTTCACACAAGGGCACCAAGGGGCCGGGGCCGCCGGCATTTCGCCCAAAGCACACATGTTTCTAACGCTGCCCTCCGCTGCCTCCCAGCCCCAAAGCGAGAGCACTCTCCGTTTCCCCTCCGCCTCGCTCGACCACGCCCGCTCCCCGGCCTCTCCTCAGGCCCCAGCCGCCAGCCCACCCCCTCACCCCTCACCGAGTCCAGCATGTAATCCACAAAATAGTTGGTGAAGTAGCCCCCAAAGCCGCGATTAATGAGGTCGGCCTGCACATTCGCAGCAGGGGGTGGCATCGCATGCGGCGCAGGCTCCACATCCGCTCGGACAGGCGGAAGCAACCCGTGCACATTGGAAAGCCGCAACACAACCTCCTGCTGGGCCCGATGGGGCGGCGGGTCGCCCGAACAGCCGACCGGCTTCGCTTTCGGGCTGTCGTCTCCCCCAACACCCCCCTTCCCGATCGCCACGCGCACCAGTTGGCACCTAAACCACTTCTGGCATGCTCGCCCCTGCACCGCAATTCACAGGTTGTCCTTCCCTGACCGCTGAGGAAGGCGCTGTGCGACGGAAAACTCGGCCCCTGCCCCACACCCACCTTTCGCGCGTAAGATCCGACAAGCTTTGACCCCCAGCCGCCCAGGTTGTAGCTGAACCCGCTCTCCGTGAGGCCGTCGCCGACCAGCACTATCGACGGCCGGGACCTGGCCGCGCGGAACCGCAGGGAGCGGTGCGGGACGGCCCCGGGCGCGCCGTCGTCGGCTGACAGCATCCGGACCGACTCCACATCCTGCTGCGCCACGCTGGCGCGCTGCGAAGTTGAGGGGTGCATCGCAAATTGACTTTAAAGCCGTTGGTGCGGGTGGCAAGCTGCAAGATATGTGGCAAGTGTGCTCCGGTACACATGCGGGTCGATTCGACTGCCGGTTCGTACTGCCAGGCGGCTTGCAGCAGCACTGTTCTGTGAATGCGCGGGCGAGCCTGGAAGCGCTCTGCAACGGGTGTGCATTGGCCAGCCGGCGCACCTTTGCCTGCAGCCCCAGCCCAACTCCGAGCCCTACTCCTAACCCGGCTATCAGGGCTAGCGCGACCGCCCCTATCAACCATTTCTTGGTGGTCGTTCTACCCGTCGGCTCCCCCAGCAGGTCTCCGCTCATTGTTGATTTGTGATGTAAGAATGCGTCTAACCACCACCTCACTCAATATGCTAGCCGCTGACGGAGCCGTGCGGCGACGAAGCTCGGAACAGCAACAACGACCGCGGTCTGAGGATGCTTTTTGTGCTTTCCGGCAGGTCACCCGGATGCAGATGAGTTGTTAGGATGTTTGCCAAGTGCTTGACGGTTGTGATTGGTCAGGAAATCGTGCCGCTTTGCCAGAGTGCCCAAATGACCAAAGCGGCGGGTACAGCAGCTGTGAGCAGCCACGGCAGGCCTGCCGCAGCCCCGGCAACGCGGCAAGCTGCCACCTTTGCAAACTCTGACTGCGTGCCCGATACTAGAAGGATCATGCGTAGGGACATGCAAGCCAAGGGGGCACAGCAAGTCAGGCAAAAGTCAAAACTCGCCTGAGACCATCTGTAAAGGTCAGATGGTCTGCCAAGACACAGGTAGGTGGGTTATAGGAGGTTCTGCAGTCACGGTGTGGCTGAGTGCTGCTTCAGCTGCCTTGTAAGCAGACACCATCATCGGCCTTTGACGTGGCGATGCAGTGACAAACAGGCACGGCACCTTCAAAACATGGTTTTTCAGGCCTGAATGAAATCAAACGCTTGCATTAGCTGTACAACATCAACTACATGGGTTGCTGTGCTACCGACTGTGCGGGGGCATGCGGAGCGGCGAGTGGACTGCCGATTGACCATGACCTCAGGGGTGCAGTGCAATCCAGGCCTCACCTTGAGTGAGTGCCGCACCAATGGGCTTGCAAATTAGTCAGTGTGATGGCAGTGAGCGGAGCTGGCAGCAATGTGGCCAGCGCATTGCTCTGGGCCTTGGACTGGCCACTGCTGTTTGTTCGCACCACCAAAGTGCTGCTTCACTGTGCCGCTTGGCGATCACTTCGCTGGGCCACGTGTCTTTCTCAATTACTCTCTACGGAAGTAATTTTGCAAACAAAGTCTGTCGATCCACGACGATCTGCGGTACAGCGACCTTCGCGCACTAGCGCAAACCCAACCCCAGCGGACTTTGTCGCGAAGTTGTGACTGCATGTGAACATCACAGCGTGTGGCTATGGCATCGCCGGCGCCGGCGCCGGACCAGCAGCTGCTGCAGGCGCCGGCACCCGCCGCCTCGCCACCGGTGCCGCCACCAACGACAGCGGCGCGCCCGCGCGGGGGCGCCTGGGACGGCGCTAAGATGTTCTTGGCGGGCGGCTCGGCGGGCGCGGTGGCGCGCACCTGCACCGCGCCGCTTGATAGGATCAAGCTCCTGTTCCAAGTGCAGGTGCGAGCAGCGCTGTGGCAGACCGAGGGCATCAGCACCCGTTGCCTGCGGCTGCCGGGATCACCACACCGCTTGCCAGCCATGCACAGGCACTCAACAAACATAATGAATGATGCGGCAACATTTTGCTGGCGAATCCGCCTCTCTCAATGCCCACCGATCCTCATCAAGACCCTCACATGACGCTCCCACCC